ATAGCTTTACCATGATAATGTAATTTAAAAAGTTGTCTTCAATATTTTTAATCAAGATAATACTCGCTGGTCCTGCCATAAAGGGTTCTTGTTCAGGTACTTTCTGTTACAGGAACAAAAATAGAACGCAAATTTCCCAGAGGTCACAGCTACTGTATTTCCGGGACACTTGTAGCAGACCATGTTCACACTGATGCGGTGCGAGAAATGCTGTGAATCCTGTGTTTCCCGCACCGCATTGCAGTCACATGGCGTTCATGTGATCTGGTGCGGGTGTCAATATTAAACTAATGACACCCCAATGTAATGCGATTGTCAGAAATCTCATCGCATGGGTGAGAACACCCATGCAATCTGATTCAGGTGCAGCTGAAAAAAAAATGGTCCTGCACCTTTTTGCCTCAAATCGCACCGCATAGACATAGCATGTGCAATTCCAGTGCGAATTACATGCGGTTCCCCGCACCTCATTAGTGTGAACCCGGTCCAAAGCTGGATTCACACTGTTGTGGTGCATTAAAGGCTATCTATTCATTTATTTATTACAGATACAGTATATATATATATATATATATATATATATATATATATATATATATATATAAAACAATTTATGCAGCATTTTACATACTGTATGTTCACATCAGTCCCTGCTCCCTAGGAGCTTACAATCTAAGGTCCTAGTCTCACATGTTAGTGACAATTTAGACAGGAGACAATTAACCTATTAGTGAGATATTGGGATCCAGATAGACAGCAGAGTGGCATTGTGGTGTCGGGCACTGGAACACCCTCTATGTTCCAGCACCTGGCACTAAAAGAGACAGACTTACTATGGGCGGAGTTATCTCTATCCACAATACAAGTGAAGTGGAAATAAACCTTAATACCCCAAAGAAAACCCACACAAGCACAGGGAGATCATGCAAGCTTCATGCACATAGTGGCTAGCCCAGATTTGAACAGAGAAACCCAGCACTGCAAGGCAGAAGTGCACTATGCCACAATGCTAATGCACCCAATGAGGAGCATGCACTATTTTTGGAACGCAGCACACCACAATGCATGGTAATGTGTTGTGGTGCACCAAAACACAGGTGCCTTACAGTGATATTGAGAATGAATGGCACCAAAGCACATAACGTGTGCTTTTGCATGTTGTAACTTTAACAACTTTTCTACCAGAGCCATTTTCACTTTTTGCACATGTGTTGAAATGCCAATTTTAGCCCTAAAGATTAGGTAAACTTCCCAAATATTATATAGTGTCTGAAAGTAGAGACCCTGTAGAATAAAATGGTGGCAGTTACAAATTTTTATGGAACATGTTGGAATACAGGGTTCATCTATTTTGCAACAGCTACTTCAGTGTTCAGCAGATATATATTCTTCAGCCAGCAGTGGCGGTGTTTATACGTTTGTAGCTGCATCTATGATAAATTCTGTCTTTTCTCTATAATAAAAAGTTCCTGTTTCCTGTTTCCAGAGAAGCAGTGGATAAACACATGTGGAATCTGCTCTACCTGTTCTGTAGGGCTATTTACAGAAAACTCTAACAGAATATGACTTTAGCACACGTTTATCAAATGCATCATGTATGTTCAGTATAACATGTAATAGTGCGCACAAACACAATATATTACCCACGTTTTGATAAAATATAAAAGATGAGTAAATAGATACCAAACATGTCATGCCTTAAAAGTGCAAGTGCCTGTGAAACGGCAAAAAACCTTGATACTTGTCCATGCACACGGGACGTTTTAATAATGCTGGTAATGTTAGCTGTGTAAAGTCGCATTAAAAACTTGAGCTTTTCAGCGGTTTTTTGTATTAGCGTTTTTTCACGTTTGCTTTTTTCACCCCAAAAAATCTTAGGGGGGTAAAAAAAAGTCCAAAAATGCTGGTTTGCCGCGATTGACCGAGTTTTACCGTGGTTTACCGTGTTTTGCAGCGTTTTCAGCGTTAGAGCGTTCTTACAGCTAAAAAGCTCCTCTAAAACCCACTAGTCCTAAGTTTTTTTCCAGCCAAAAAACATCCCTGGAGCCACGTGCAGGCAGCCTATGTTACTCTATGAGGAGACAGTGGCTGTACAGACACAGCGACAGGTCCTAATTTTAACAGGAGTGAAGCAACAAGTGTACGACCCTCCATTGCACTCTGTCTAGCATAGGTTACCTACAAGCAACTCCAGGCGGCTCCAGCTGCATAAACACTCATGCCGTACAGACCACAGCACCCGTGTGAATTAAGGCTTACTGTACACCTAGCTTTATTGCTATCACAAGGGGGGGGGCTGATTTTTTGCTTTGGTATAAGTTCCCCAGAACTGTGCCCAGCCCCCTATGCCATTATTTTGGTCATCCCTTGCTTATAAGCCTAGATAATGACCATTACTATTTTTGAAAGTTTGCTTCCCATTGATGTCAATAGGTTTTGGATTTATTAACCTGTAATTGGCTGATTCTTGGCGCCAAATAATCTAAGCTCCCTCCCCTCTTCTTCTTGGATAAGACAGGGACGCACCTGCTGGTAGTTGTTACTTTTCTCACATCTCTGGCCATTAGCCTTTATGTACAGAAGAAAGGAGTGTTCACACAAAATTAGAGTTTCCTCACTTTACTGATGTTCTTTAAAGTGGTTGTAAAGGCTGAAAGTTTTTTTTACCTTCATGCATTCTATGCATGAAGGTAAAACACCTTCTGTGTGCAGCAGCCCCCCATAACCCACCCAGCCCTTAACTTTGGCTGAGCTCCATCTTGATCCAGTGATGAGCATAAGAGCCTCAGCTCTCCCATGTCTCTCCTTCCTCATTGGCTGAGACAGCAGCCATTGGCTGTTACTGTCACAGCCAGTGAGCCAATGAGGAGAGAGCGGGAACTAGGTGTGCTCCATGTGTGAATGGACACGCAGAGTAGCGGTGCGGGAGCGAGCCAGCTGTGGTGCTTGGGAGCAGGTTAGTATGACATGTTTGTTATTTTAAAAAAAATAATGTACCTTTAATATCTCAATGACACAGACATAATCTCTGGGATCACTTGGCATTTTTGTACTAATCACATATAGTGGACATACTGTAGAAGTCACTATGTGAAAGCTGTATATTGCACATCACTGTTCAAGTAATTCTAAAACCTTAAAGTTTTCTACCTTAATACATTCTATGCATTAAAGTGGCTGGTAGGTTCTGTGGCTGATTAAAGTGGTAATTAAACTCACTTAGTGCCTTATCTGCATTACATTAGCCTCAGAACCTGTGTAACTAATATATGTTTGGATTTAAAGGGATGAGGTGGCAACCCTACACCTGTGACATCACTACAGGAGGGCTTTGTCTAAAAGGGTCCTAACACCCAGTTACAATATTCCCTGTTACCATGTGCTATTTTGGAACAGAGCCACCTAGTGGCAGACTAGCTAACTGCATCTGCATACAAACCAAACTTCAGTAATGTTTGCTGAACCAGCCTCTAACTAAACCCAGGTATGTGCATCTCATCTGCAGTATTCACAAGTACATCAGTAATTTTTTTTAATGCAAATACTAAGCACATGAATTTCACTCTGTATCAGCCTCCTGACATCCAAGCACAGCAGAATGGAGAGGGAGAAGCAGCACAAGGAACCAATCAGTAGTTCTGCAGTGCTTATATGCTAACAAGGAAGATACTGATAGGAGGAAAGTGCAGAGTGACAGATAGGTGAGCTTCTCAGTTTGCTTTTTCTCCTTTCACTGTCCAGCTGTAGTCTGGGGAGGGACAAGACCTGTAAGTGTTTCTTAAAGTGTTACTAAACCCACAACAGTAAAATCAGTCTGTATATGCAGTAAAGCATGCTTGCTATACTCACTGTGGAACCTAAGGGGTGAACCATCTGCATTGTGTAAAAAGGATGTTTGATCCTGTCTTTTCTGATCCTCCCCTTCTTCCACAGTCCCCATTTCATCTACTGATAGAACAGAGCCTCAGGGACACTCTGCACGTGCTCAGTTTGGTGTGTATTGCTAGAGTTTTTTTCTTTTTCATGGAAGAGTGCAAGTGATCAGCACAGGGCCAATCAGCACTGTCCAGACAGAGGTCAGGGGTCCTGCATCCTCCTAGAGCAGAAAGAAAACTCCCTGCTCTGCTGGACACTGATAAAAGTCACAAGACTGCTCTAACTACTGATGAGAAAAGGTATTTAGCAGTATATATTTACTAAAATAAATGTATTTCCAAGTTGTACTGCGGGAGACCAGATATAGTGAATGCAGGGGCCAGGGAGACCAGATATAGTGAATGCAGGGTCCGGGGAGACCACATATAGTGAATGCAGGGGCCGGGGAGATCAGATATAGTGAATGCAGGGGCCGGGGAGATCAGATATAGTGAATGCAGGGGCCGGGGAGACCAAATATAGTGAATGCAGGGTCCTGGGAGACCAGATATAGTGAATGCAGGGGCCGGGATACCAGATATAGTGAATGCAGGGTCCTGGGAGACCAGATATAGTGAATGCAGGGTCCAGGGAGACCAGATATAGTGAATGCAGAGTCTGGGGAGACCAGATATAGTGAATGCAGGGTCCGGAGAGACCAGATATAGTGAATGCAGGGGTCGGGAGACCAGATATAGTGAATGCAGGGGCCAGGGAGACCAGATATAGTAAATGCAGGGTCCGGGGAGACCGGATATAGTGAATGCAGGGGCCAGGGAGACCAGATATAGTAAATGCAGGGGCCAGGGAGACCAGATATAGTGAATGCAGGGTCCTGGGAGACCAGATATAGTGAATGCAGGTGCCGGGGATACCAGATATAGTGAATGCAGGGTCCTGGGAGACCAGATATAGTGAATGCAGGGTCCGGGGAGACCAGATATAGTGAATGCAGAGTCTGGGGAGACCAGATATAGTGAATGCAGGGTCCGGAGAGACCAGATATAGTGAATGCAGGGGTCGGGGAGACCAGATATAGTGAATGCAGGGGCCAGGGAGACCAGATATAGTAAATGCGGGGTCCGGGGAGACCGGATATAGTGAATGCAGGGGCCAGGGAGACCAGATATAGTAATGCAGGGGCCAGGAAGACCAGATATAGTGAATGCGGGGTCCGGGAGACCAGATATAGTGAATGCAGGGGCCTGTGAGACCAGGTATAGTGAATGCGGGGTCCGGAGAGACCAGATATATGAATGCGGGGTCCGGGGAGACCAGATATAGTGGATGCAGGGTGCGGGGAGACCAGATATAGTGAATGCAGGGTCCTGGGAGACCAGATATAGTGAATGCAGGGTCCTGGGAGACCAGATATAGTGAATGCAGGGTCCGGGGACAGACCAGATATAGTGAATGCAGGGTCCTGGGAGACCAGATATAGTGAACGCGGGGTCCGGGGAGACCAGATATGGTGGATGCGGGGTCCGGAGAGACCAGATATAGTGAATGCAGGGTCCTGGGAGAACAGATATAGTGAATGCAGGGGCCGGGGAGACCAGATATAGTGAATGCAGGGTCCGAGGTTTAGTAACACTTTAACTGCAGCAAATAAAAAATAGGTCTCTTGATCTGCCAGACAGAACTGTGCTGTGTGGCAGGGTCTGTAAATCTCAGGAATGGATGAACAGAAATACTACCCCTTTGAAAAACGAATCCATACTAAGTACAATATTTTATCTTTCTATGTTGCAATTTAAATTGCTGAAAGCCATCTTTAAAACAAAGGGTTAACAAGTCCATTTTCTGCAGATTGCTGTCTTGAATGACATTTTCCTTTAGGAGTCAAACACAGATTCAAAATTACCCCTACAATCCCCTGCTGTGTTTTGATTATTAACAGATTGGAGATCACCGCTTTTCCTCCATAATGTACAGTAATCATAGTAAATTGGGGACATTAGTTTCCCTGTAAATAAAGTGAGCCAGCATGCAGTACATCAGTCAGATACAAAACAGTGGGGTGAGGTACAATTATTCAGTGTCAGGCTGAAATCATCATGTAGATGAATATAGAGAAGTATCCAGGGTGCAGCATGCGGCAAGGATGTTGTATAAATGGCAGTGATTTGCCCAATAACAATAAGACGTTTGTACAATTAGCAAAGTATACTACCCACAGAGGCACTTGTAGCACATACATGTCACTGGCGGACTTGTCATTACTTCTTATATGTACCTTTCCTCACCTTCCAACAACTATGAATCTGCAATGGGAGTTGCTGCTGTGCAGATGGAGATTAAAGCGTTATTAAACCCCAAACCAAAAATGTATTATGTTGCAGCTTACCAATCGTTTGTTGTGGTGGCTGCAATTGTTTTCTTTTTTAGTCTTTTTTCCCTCTCCTTTCCCCTGGGGATCTGGCCAGTAACACACTTCATGTTTTAGTGAGGCACTGCTCTGGATGAATAGGCACAGGAGGCACATCAGACATCAGCATTGTCAGTCTGGGGGGAGGGGTGTGTTAGATGAACTAGAAGATTTAAATACACTAAACAAACTGAAGCCAATCTCCAGCTAACACTATCTAAGCAGTTAGAGCTAACAGTTTTTTTTTCCTTTTCATCTAGAGGTTTTCCATAAATAAATAAAAGCTGAATATTGTAAGCACCACTACCAGTGTTAAAGTGTTACTGAACCCACAGTAGTAAAATCAGTCTGTATATGCAGTAAAGCATGCTTGCTATACTCACTGTGGAACCTAAAGGATTAATCCTCTACATTGTGTAAAAAGTTTGATCCTGTCTTCTATTATCCCTTCCTCCACTGTCCCCCTCTTATTTTCTGATAAGACATATCCTGTGGGGGACACTTTGCACATGCCCAGTTTGTTGTGTATTGCTGGGAGAGGTTTTTTTCTTCTTGGTAGAGTGCATGTGATCAATACAGGGCCAATCAGCACTGTCCAGACAGAGGTCAGGGGTCCTGCATCCTCCTAGAGCAGAAAGAAAACTCCTCCTACAAGCTTTAACCATTGCTCTGATGGACACTGATAGAAGTCACAAGACTGCTCTAACTACTAATGAGAAAAGGTATTTAGCAGTTTATATTTACTAAAATAATTGCATTTCTTGTTGTGTGTACTGTGGGCGACCGGATATAGTGAATGCAGGCTCATGGGTTTAGTAACACTTTAAATGGTCTGTCTCATCCATGTGAATTGATACATTCTGCTGGAGAGCTTCTGCTAAAAAAAAGCTGGTTGGATCATGAGATGAAAATAGAAGAAAGAAAAGCTATAAAAGGAAATAGATGCAGCTGTCAGGAATGGACTGGCCAGCAATAGTGGGACTCACCTGCCTTATGAGCTGCAGTACCAGGGCTGGCCAGCGGGTGCTCCCAGCAATCAGAGACTCAACCTTGCAGCCAGTCAAACACCTGGAACTAATTATACTGGTGTATTTAAGGGATGGCCAGACCTGCAGACTCTGCCTTGGTGTGTGTTTTTCCTGGGCCCTGTATCTTGTAAACCTGCGTTCCTGTTCCTGTCTTGTTGCTGACCCTGCTTGATTCTGACCTCTGCTGACTTCTCCTGTTCTGATCCCTGGCTTGTGACCCTGACCATCCCTCTGCCTGACCCTCTGTACCACGCTGCCCGCTACCTGCTGAACCTGGCCTGTGACCCCGACCATTCTCCGCTTGCTCCCCCTGTACCTACCTGCCCGATTGATATTGACCCGGCCTGCCTGACGACGCTTGCATTGTATGTACTGTTATCTGTGGGTGGTTGGTTTGGTTTGTTTGCACTGTGTTATGTTTTAGTATTGCACTGCGTTTATGTTTGTATTGTTAGTGTTAATAAATTATATTGTTTATAACATATCTGAAGTCTGCGTTTCCCTGCGTCAGTCACATACCTCTGTTCACACCCCCGGGAGCCCTGACAGCAGCCATCTAAGAATCAGTAATCTGAAATATAATTGTAAAGCCTTCTAATGTAGTCAGAGAGAGTTTGTTGTTTTATTTTTTTAGGCAGAGGCTGAGTAGCAGCCTGGGATGAGTCAGCCTGGCAGTGAGGTAGAGCGGTCACCTCAGGACAGGCTAGGGAGGTTTTGAAGGTCAGAGCTTCTGGAGTCCTCCAACCTCTCAAGAATTTGAGAGCTTTCTGGAGGAGGGACAGAGGAGGGGAGGAGGCTCAGATCTGCAAGCTTAAGGGATTTTGGCCAATCCCCTGGCAGGAGGCTGGGCATGGTGACCGAGGCAACCCTTAAAAGTGGACGAGCCTGTGCAGCAGGGGCCAAGTGTCAGGTGGACGATGGAGTGAGAGGATGGAGTGTGGAGCCTGGGATGGGACCCAGGGAAGGGGCCTACCTACAGGCAGGTGCTAGAGAGAAGAATCTCCACTGTGAGTACTCTTGCACACCCTGGGCTGGATAAGAGCAGTCAGGTGGAAAATCCAACTAGCTTCTCATCTGGGGCTTCTGTGCTGATTTGGCAGTTTCTGGGCTCCCTTGCCCAGGGAATACCCTCAGTTATAGCTGGGTGAAGAGGAGGATTCCTCTGGGGTCTGAGGAGGTACACCAGAGAGCTGGAATGCTCTTAAAGGAGAGAAATGTTTTGTCTACATCTGTACATAGGTTCTAAGGAGTTTTTCCTCAAGTTTACAGTTTCCTCGGGCATCCCATACACCCCTCAACCCCACCCAAGTTATTAACCCCTTAAAAAAACCACAAAACCAAGCTCAGACCACAAAGTGTGGAAAAAAATGTGTGTTGGCTGGCTGTGCAGAGGTTTAGGAGGACCCAAAATTCAGCGACTCCAAAGGCCGTGGCTGTCAATCACCGGGTCCTGGCCAGTGATTGCCGAGCATCTCCGATGGAGGGGAGAACTGTTTGTAAGCAAAACAGTTCTCCTCCCTGTCAGCTCTTGCACACTGCTTTGGATGGCTGTGCGTAGCACAGCCATCCAAAGCACTGTGCTTACAGTGAAGCACACACACAGCCCAGGATGCAAAACAGCACACAGTTAACCCTTTGATCGCCCACATGTTAACCCCTTCCTGCCCAGTGCCATTAGTACAGTGTCAGTGCTTTTTATTACACTGATCACTGTATTGGTGTCACTGGGGAAGTCAGTGACACCAAGTCAGTTCCCCCCAGTGTCAGAATGTCTGCAACAGTCGCTGATCGCTGCCATTACTAGTAAAAATAAAAATCCCAGTATATATACCGCAATTTTTAAACACTATAAGTTTCACGTAAACAAATTAATTTACACGTATTGGGATTTTTGTTAGCATGTAGCAGAATACATTTTGGCCTAAATTTATATTGAAATCTGATTTTTTTAAAACATTTTACTGGACATGTTTAATAGCAAAATGTCAAAAATATTGTTTTTTTCTCAAAACTGTCTTTTTTTATAGCGCAAAAAATAAAAAATGCACAGGAGATCAAATACCACCAAAAGAAAGCTCAATTCATGGGAAAAAAGGCCATACATTTCATTTGGGTGCAGGGTAGCATGACTGCGCAATTGACAGTTAAAGTAACGCAGCACTGTATCGCAAAAAATGGCCTGGTCAAGCAGAGGGGTAAATCCTATAGGGGATAAGTGGTTAAACTCAACAATCATAGCTATGTATGTACCTGTATTATGTACTTGAAATTCCTCTTTTCTTCCTTTAGAAGGACATCTCCACTTTTAAACCATAATTTGTGCATTCCTTGTTCCTACTGCAATGTGTCCATTGCTTTTTTATGGGACATCATCTGGATGGAAATACTTGGCAAGGGTTGCTTTACATTTGGGTGTTTCTGATTACCAAAATGTTGGTGAAAATTGTAACATGTTGTTCTTTAAGCTAAATGCATTAAAGTTAATGGAAAAGGCAAACCAATGTTTTTGTTTTCTTGTGGGGTTTTTTATACACAATGAGCTTTAACTGCTTCAGCTCCACCCCATAGCAGAAATGCTGCTACAGGGCGGCAACTGTGTGCAAAATCACGTATACATACGTGATTTTGCATTTCCGGGTAGGGGGCGCACACAAGGCGTGCGCGTGCCCTACCTGCGCTTCCTTTCACGGCCGCGGTTGTCAGTCACCGGTTCCTGGCCAGTGATTACTTGCCGGCGCTTAGTGATTGCCGAGAATCTCTGGCGGGGGAACTGTTAGTATAAAAAACAGTTATCCTCCCTGTCAGCTCCTGCATGCTGCTTTGCATGGCTCTGCATGTCCAGTGCCATTAGTACAGTGTCAGTGCTTTTTATTAGCACTGATCACTGTATTGGTGTCACTGGGGATGTCAGTGACACCATGTAAGTTCCCCCCAGTGTCAGAATGCCCACTGCAGTCCCACTATAAGTCGCTGATCGCCGCCATTACTAGTAGAAATTTTTTTAAAAAGCCCAGTAAATATACCACCATTTGTAAATGCTATAACTTTCACGTAAACCAATTGATTTACACGTATTGTGATTTTTTTTTTTAGCAAAGACATGTAGAAGAATACATTTTGTCTTAATTTTTTTACTGGACATGTTTAATAGAAAAAAGTAAAAAATATAGTTTTTTTCTCAAAATTGTCGGTCTTTTTTTTTATAGCGCATATAACAAAAAACGCACAGGCGATCAAATACCACCAAAGAAAGCTCTATTCATGGGAA